AGTTTATATCTCGTACTTCTGAGTTTATATTTCGTAATTCTGAGTTTATATTTCGTAATCCTGAGTTTATTCTGAGTTTATGGTTTAACGAATAACATTAGTATAGTAAGAGGATTTGAAGGTAAAAATGACAATAGAATAGATAAGCAAAGATAAACCCATAAAAGCAAAAAGTATTTTGTTCTGAGCAACAGAACTGTTGGCCTTTCTCTCTCCAATAACAAACATCAAACAGCACACAAACACTAAAGCTAATGCTCCAGAACAGGACATCTGGCTCTGCTGAAGATGAAGCCACTCCAGAACGCCAAACGCTCTGCTGTTGGTGAACGCTGAAGATGTTTTCTGAAAAACTCACAGGCTGATCGTTCAGAAACTCGCCATCCTATTAACAGACTAAAGTTCTGAAAAAAATTGGTCTAGAAATAATTTTCACTCGGAAATTGCTAGGAAATTTCACAAATATTTACAAAGACATGGCAAGTACTGTAACACGTTGGATTAAATGTGAGATTTTTAAGAAGAACGTCTGAGATAGTGTTTTATTGTAAAACATACTCCAATAATCTTTGTAAGTTACTTTGTATAAATAAAAAACTTGAAAATATGTGAATGCATTATAGATACAAGATCTTTCACTTCTCTTCTCACAGTCAAGATGGAAGAACCAACAGAGGAAGACATGATACAAAGCGAGAAATTATGTAAAATGAGACAATGGAAGCTTATTTCACCATAGAGTAAAAATATTAAATTTAGAACTGCGAGATATAAACTCAGAATTATGAGATATAAATTCAGAATTATGAGATATAAATTCAGAACCGCGAGATATAAACTCAGAATTATGAGCTATAAGGTCAGAATAAACTCAGGATTACGAAATATAAAATCAGGATTATGAGATATGAACTCAAAATTATGAGATATACTCTCAGAATAAACTCAGAATTACGAGGTATAAACACAAAATTACAAGATATAAACTCAGAAGTATGAGATATAAACTCAGAATTATGAGATATAAACTCAGAATAAACTCAGGATTATGAAATATAAACTCAGAATTACGAGATATAAATTCTGGTATGTCATAATAAACTCGCAACTGCAAGGAAAAAAGTTAGAATTGCAAGATAAAACATCACAGTTATCGTTTTTATTTATTTAAAAAAATTCTGTGACAGAAACAAAAACAACAGAATTGTGAGATGCAAACTCAAGACTTATGAGAAAAAATAGCCAGAAGTATGAGATATGAACTTGCACAAAAAAAAAAAAAAAAAAAACAAAAAATTGTGATAAAAAAAATTACATTTTTATTTTTTACATTTCGTGGCAGAAACAAGGTTCCATAGGAAAGGGAAGAGTGTCCGTACACGGAAAGTTCAGCATAAGGCAACAACAGGCTTCAAACCGGGTAAGATGGACACTTGGCACCGGATCACAGGAACCCACGGCGGGACGAGAGCCAGAACCTTACGGGGCCACAAAACCTTCTGCTGTCCAGAACAGAGCTCACGGCATCAGATCCTGAGATACTGCACGCTTACATGGGACACAAACAGGATTTGAATCAACTGAAAACATATGTGTGACCCTGGACCACAAAATCAGTCATAAGGGTCAATTTTTGGAAATTGAGATTTATACATCATCTGAAAGCTGCATAAATACGCTTTCCATTGATGTATGGTATGTTAGGATAGGACAATATTTGGCTGAGATACAACTATTTGAAAATCTGGAATCTGAGGGTGCAAAAAAATCTAAATATTGAGAAAATCATCTTTAAAGTTGT